ATAACTACAAAATCAACTTATTTCTGCATATTCATCCTCCACCCATTAGGGCTTTCTGGTATCCCATTTCAAAAATGGACATTTCCCCAGAGTTCTGTCCATTACCTCCTTCTCTTAAGAGTATCAGTTTTGCAGAATTCACAGGATGCCAAAAAGTTCTGGAAATCTGATCTATTCATAAAATTTGTAGAAAAACAAGCACTTCCCAGGATAAAAAAAATACTCTTTGAAACAAGAATTTGACAGCAAACATTAATTCTGGACTCTCGCTGAGCACTTCCAATGACGTCCCTTCATGAAACTTGATTCCCTCTCCTTTCCTCCCAGACTGCACTGTCTTATCTGACCAGAAAAGGGATCCCTAGGGGCTCAGTGGTGGGACTGTCCCACAGTTTTGAGGCTGGTATAGTAGTGGTGATGACAGGCATGGTGGTGTATGTACAGTAATGCACACATGGATTTTAAAAGAACTTGGGTATATAAAAGCACCCCCCTGCTTTTCTTCACTGCTTTCTAGGAAAAGAAACATTCTTGGGCAATAATAAGCAAATAAGGAATTTTCAGGTCAATTACATATTGTCAACAAATTTTCACACATTTTCCTGTAATCAAAACAATGTTAAAATGCTTCTGGTTTGAATTTGCTTCTGGTTTCTTGGAAAACTTAAGCACAACCATTTCAATGTGCTGCATTTTCAAACTGGTGTACATCTTCCCAAGCACTTTCAACAGCAATGCCATAAATATAAATAGTCTGCAGAGCCTCTTGACTCTTAGGTCAGAGCCATGAACAAATACAAAATATTGTTTTGTTGCATACAAATACAACTTTTCTTGTAATCAGGTTCTGTTTTTCCCCACCAGTGACTAAGGATAGGAAATTTTCTACAACATTAATGTCTTCACTCACCTTCATTCCTTTGTGCAACCTATTACAAATAAATAGTCTATACACATAACAGAAAAAATATACTTTTTGGAAGAAGCGCTAAAAGCTTAAGTTCTTTGCATATGACCCCTTCATGCAAAGTCAATAACATGAAAAAAATGCTGGCTATTTTGTCACAGAGCTGAACGTATCAGGAAGGCGTATTAAAATCTTGAAGGCCTGGACCATTTTCTCATAAATTTATGGCAGATTGGCAAGGTGGTGCTCTGCTAAATTTACTATGAACCGATTACATTGTCAGATGACATATATGAAATAAACACATGGTTAAACAGCTTGAAAAATACCAAATTATCAAAATGACATTATTTGTACACAGACATACTTAATGGTGCAATTAGGAGAAAATGTGATTTTTTAAAAAAGGGAAGCACCACACACATCCTAGAGTAAAAGAGCTACTACAGTCATCAGCTGATAGCAATATGCATATACTCATAGCAAAAATACAAATACTGAAATAACTTTACACTTACTGTAATAGTAAAAGTAGTGCAACATGTGTGCATGTTTGTAGACAGGCACTATAAGGACTTTTTCCAGCTCCCCTTCCATCTGAATGATGTTACAGTCATTTATAACAAAAGCAAGGGAATGTAAGATTTCTCAAGTAAGAACAGCAGCAATTTGTTTTAAATTTCATCTTGACAGTTAATAGCAGTGACCACTGAAGATACAGACCACTAGAGAATTTAGGCTCCATGTCCTCTTTCACACCATTATGGACTTGAGATGCTACTTTAAAATTAATTTAGGCTTTTAATTCTATAGTCTGTGGTCTCAATTATTTAGTCCAGAGGGCTGACTTTCAAAGCATCAACCTCCTATTAATATTCAGGGAGAATCAGACTCTTAACAACTCACATTTGAGAGCAGAAATGGAAACCAGGCTTTTCTGTCTTCCTCACAGCTACTTCAGAAAATCAGCTCACTTCTAGTCAGAAAGACTCTTCCCTTTTAGTGAAACAAATATGCTTAAATCTAAAAGTCTAGACACTGGGTCTTAAAAGTGGTGGCCTTTTGTCTCATCCCAGGAGCCATGGCACTCTAAAGCACCAAACAGGGATGCCTGCAGGGAGGCTGTCACTTCAGAAATTGTGTTTAGCAGTCTGGGCACAGACGACAGATTGTGAAAACTCTGCAGTCATCCTAATTAAGGTGACATTCTCCTACAAGAAGACATACTACTGTAAAAAGTTACAGGAAAGCTTGCTTGCAAAATTAATCTGTAGATCAGAAACTGTGGTCTAACAAAATTAAGTTTCAGGTAAACCAGAAAACAGTTTTGGGGAGGAAGACAAGCTGCTGGTTACTCAGACCATCAGTCACCAATTCACAATGCACAATTTCAGATTAGAAAGCACAGTGTTATTAAGGCCAGTTTAATGCTTATGCATATCCTAACTAGAAACAAGAAAGAGAAATGATAAATTATGGAGCCATTAAATTAACAGAAATTAAATTTGGGAGGAGTCAGAAAATGGATGAGAAATGCCGATTATTTGAAGTCACGTTACTTACAAAAAATGATGATGGTTTTTGGGAGAAATAATCCAAGCTATTGCATTGATTACAAATTATTCCCGTGTGCCACTCTTCAGCCCTCCTGTAAAATGTACATGCCTGCAATGTGCTGTTGGGCACATTTAAGGCAAAGCACCAGGTTCCCTGCTGTGAACAAGGCTGTGGCTGGATTGCACAGCTGCTCCCCAGCTTTCAGAGGCCAGTGGGACCAGCAAGAGGGTATTATTCCTTTTATTCCAGTATTAGAATCAGGAACAGGTAAGGAATCACCTGTGTGTACTCCTCAGATGGTTTCAATTTTTCAAATGTTCAAATAGTATTTTCAAATGGTTCTTCAGCTGAGATAATTTAGGACAGGGGAGCCAGTTCATATCTAACCAGCACCCATGCTTACAGCCCATATCATGCTGTATTCTCCAAATAAATGAATATGTTCCCTGTAACATTAATGGAGAAGAAAAACATCACTTTTGAAACTACTTTGTAACCTGAAAGGCAAAAATCCAAGTCAGGTGTTTAAGATCTCCCTGGAGGGTCTTCAAAGGTTTTCATATCTGCCCCCTGACAATGTGAGAAGGGTGTTCATTTACCTGAGGAGATTTGGTCCATTAAATAACTCAGATTCATGTGAGATTGGTGCCCAGGTCAGGCAGACAGCTGCTGCTGAGCCCACAGCTGCTTGTTTTCTCTCTAGAAAAGCTCACAGTCTTTGTCTACTATTGCCCATCCTTCTGCTTGCCTCCTTATCAAGAATTTGCCATGGTCCATGATGCCCATATACTGTTGAAGTGGGGAGAAGCAAGAAGTTTTTCTCTTCCATCAGGAAACCAGCAAACTGCAATACTTCATTGTCTGCTGTAAGAAGAATCTATGATTTGCATTTTCAGACAAATTTTCTTAAAAAAAAATAAAAAAATTGTGTTCCCTTTTCATAATCTTCTTGCATGAACATTGAGATTTCTCTGTTGACCGAATGTATTTGTGAAATATATAGTTTCCCATAAAAACTCTCCAAATATCAGACAGAAGATCAAAGCTCAAGAGCCAAAACACATTTTGCCAAACCTCATTTCTTGGCATGGGGAAGGTGAGTGAGAAAGGACATTCCTCTTAATGAAAAACACCATCATAATTTTTGAAAATATAATTTTTTTCCTATGATAACTCTGCCCTGCCTGCCACTGACCTTGCATTTAGTATAAGTAAACACCTTTTGTACCTTGCATTTAGTATAAGTAAACTACCTTTTGTAGTTGCACAGATCAGGAACTTCTCTAAATTGCAGCTGTTAGCTTTCCCTGTAAGTTTTTCATTTAACGACTAAAAATAAATGGTTTTCAGACAAATTTTCTTAGCTGGGTGTTTTTTTTTTTTTTTTATATTGCTGCTGTTAAACTCCTATTCTGGAGGGATGGTACCTTTTCCCATCATTGTATCACCACCACTCTGTAATGAGAAAGTAAAAAACGCAACTCTGAGATCAATATATGCAGTTGAACTACATATCCTGACTACTCAAAAATAAGTTACCCAGAACTTTTAACAATTCTGAAAAATCTCAGAGAAGTCTGCTTACTTGCATTACTCTGTATTTGATGTGCAGTTTTCCTATAAAAACCCACAACCCTGCTAAGTGCAGAAATGATTAGGCACACAGCCCCCAGAACACTCAACATCTTGCAAGAAGTGGGTGCTTTAGTCTGCAATGCACCCAACAGATCCCTAAACACATCACTGGGAAGTGAATTATGAGTTTTAAACCAGTTGCAGATTTGCTGTAGAATCAGCAGTGAGTGTCTTGAAGATCATAATAAACCAGCAGCTCTCAGATTAATTTGTATCAAAAGCAGCATGGTCTGAGCACACTGTGAAATACTTCACAAGAGCAAGCAGAATAAAGCAAATGCCCAGAGCACGTTTCAATGTCAGGCATTCAAGTGTTTGGCACAGGTGGGGAGGATTTCTACACACTTCTGATATGGGAAGGAACTTTTCTCATCACTGATTTTGATGGGTCAGAATCAGGCAAATGCTCCTTTCTCCTTCCACTGTGCTCTAAACAAAGACAGAGTGCAGTGGAGTGATATTCTGCTGAATTCCAGTGTGTGTGATGCTGAGGATGAGATAATGTATTCTGCTTCTAAGGTGGTCTCATAGCCACAGATACAGATGGAGTAAGCACATGCCTCATGCTCCAAGGCAGAAAATTACTCTGGGTGACCATACAAGGGTGCCTAGTACAATTCTGGTACTTTGGGTGTCCTACCCAACTTCCTGCTGTCATGCCAGAGGATCCTGGGTCTCCTGCAGCGTATCTGTGAACACTGTGTGGATGTTTCAGCAAGTTTAAGGCATCACAAAGAGTATCAGAGCCTCTGCTAGGGAGTGAAATCCCAGCCTCCTCTACCAGCAGTAATACACGTGCACACATGTACATACACAATGCTTCCATCATTAAGGCAGTACATCATTAATTGAAATCAGGTCACAAACAGCAACTCAACCATGTTTTGTTCAGTCTTGGAATGGTTGTTTATTCCAAAGTCATGAAGCTTCCTGTAAAGTAAATACCTTTAGAGTACAGTGCCATAATTACATGATGTATAAACATATGGTGCTTTGTCAAATACAATAAAAGACATAAAATCACATTAAGATGATCTGCTAATATAACAGAATGTAAAAGTAACATCTGAACAGCAAAAGAACTCAGCAGCCAAAGACTTGAGTTGTCAGGACTGCCATTAAGATAAAATGGCTAATTCAGATGAGTATTTTGGGCAAGAAGCCTCCTTTCCACACTGCAACCAGGATTTTGTATTTTAATGAAACAAATTTTAAATGAAGGACTATTTGCCAGGCAAATCAAAATTCTCTTCCGGTGTGGCTGTCCCCATTTTACTGGTAGGCAAAAAGAAAGGGTTTTAGAAAGAAACCTAATGCAGTTGGTTATAAAAATCTCAGTGAATTTGAGTTCTTCTTGTTAGTCTGAAAATCCTGCACAGAGTGACTGGTTTGTAGGGGAACTGTGTAACAACATGAGATAAGCTCAAGAGCCCTGTTTGAGTCCTTTTTTTAGCCAATGGATTTCATCTACCCTCACAACACTGTGTAACTAAGAAAGGGACACTGAGGGAAAAGAGTTCTGATCATGACTCATAAAAAAGAGAAGAATAAATAAACCCCAAAAAATAGGAAAAAGAAAACCCAAAGCTTTTTTAATGATCAGTTTTCTAGTTCTGCCTCATTATATAGACAACTGGTAAAAATTTTCCTTCATCTTAGTGGAACTAACAGATTCAGAAAGCTTATTGCTTACTCCTTGAAGGTTTATGAGGCATGCAGGTACAATAGTGACGTATTTAAGTCCTTCCAGTCAGAGAAACACAGTTCCTCTCTTGTGTTGGGGGGCAGCAAGCTGAAGCTACAAAATGGGCTGCTTCACACAGCAAGAGTATGACTTGTTATAGACATGAACCCACCATTCTTTTTCTTAAAGTCAAGCTTGGGTGAAAAACTTAACAAATGAAAGTTCAGGGACAAATTTTGCTTTCTGTTCCACTTGGAAACTAAGCAGACATTTCTCTTCAGAGAATTGTACCACATCCTGATCTATAAAAACATAAGAACAGATTGAAATTACATTAATATAAACAGGCACCTCTGAAAAGAACATTGAGTACTCAAAATTGTGGACATTTATGCGAATACTTTCCAAAATGGTTATCTTGCACATTGTAAAGAGATATAAAAAGTAAATGTCACCTTCCTTTTTAATAAATTATTTTTATTTCACCTCTAGTGGCAAAGATATATAATTACAGACCTGGAAATTCAGAAAGAATTTTCTGGTCTCTTGCTTTCGCGACAGGAAAGAGTGAGAGAAGAATGTGGTCAGAAGTGAAAAACTTAAGACCTGCCGCTACAGAAAAGACGAGACATTAATTTTTCAGTCTCATTATACATGTTAACTGTAAATAACGATTTTCAAGACTCATTTCTTAAAAGAAAAATTGGAAAGCCAACCTTAGTTTAGTGCTTTTTCCAAATTTTAGGGATGGCAAGAATTTCCTTTGTGGCCCACATCTTCCTTCTTGAGACTGGATTTTAATTAATTTGACTAGTGAGATAACAGCCTAAGGTCTTTTCAGCATACTCACACTTGTACCAGGGGCTCCAGTTCCTGCCTGTTTACCACATCAAACTCTCACATGGCCTTTGAGTTCCAAATAATTACCCAAAGTAAGACAAAAATTGATCATGTCTTCTTGCTCACATAAACCCAAGTCCAGACCTGCTACAGACATTGCCTGGAAGGTTCAGATGACAGTGTAGACATGATCCTAGAGAGATGCCTTGCTTCAAAAGGAAGACACTGCATTGCTGAAGCTCAGACTGTGGTACTATTGCTTAGTTTGAACTGAACTTTTTCACTAATGAAGGTTGGAAAGAAAAAAAAAAAAAAAACAAAACCAAAGAATACTTTGCTATTAGAAGAATTTTTTCAAGATGGTTTCCACTCTTCTTCTAAGCATCTTGGAAGAATTATTTTAAAATAGATGTGTTTTGGACATACAAGCATTTTCAACATAAAAAAGATGCTTTGTATTTTTTTGTTTGGTTGGTTCTGAAAATGAAATTATATTTACATAAAAAAATGTAAAATCATAGATCCTTAAAGAAACTGCCCATATACACATTATGGATCTAATACAGCTGGGCCCTTCAAAATACTTTTTTGGACGTCAGTTTGAGGGGAGATACCACAATTATGACTTTTCTTCTCAACTACCACAGACCAAGAGAACCATTTCTTACCCAAACATGTTTCATCAAAATTGCTCCTGAAAATGATCAGAAGGAATACAGAGAGAGGAAAACTCAATGTGAGTAAGGGTTTCACAACCTGGCACATTTGGACTAAGGGTAACTTTTTCAGAAAAAGCTAATTAATAAGCCCTGAGCTTCATCAATATATGAAGCCTGGAAGAGGATCCTGGTCACACCTGAATCTCAGTGAAAGCTCTGCCCTTCTGCACTCACAGCAGCATCAAGGCCTCCCTTTCAAAGATGCAGAGCTGAACATTTGTGTTGGGAGCTGTCTGCTTAACAGCACAATACTTCTTCTTTCCCTTTATAAACAATGAGCTCTCAAGCTCCCAGAAGCAAAGAAACCAGGCGAGGAAATATTTAATCAGTGAAAGAATGAAATTATATGCAGCTGATAAAGTAGGGGCTGTATGGAAATAGCAAATGTAATTGAAAAAAATAAACCCTTTGCATGACTGCCCAGTGTCCTGAAATGCCTACGTGTGAAAGCAGAAGCATGACTTAATTTCTGTGGTAGCCACAAGTGAGTGATCTGACTTTTTCAAAACCACATCCCCAATTCTCATTCAGAAGATGATGTAATCTTTGCTCTTACAAGTTTTCCCATTTTCTACATATCTGTCCTTGTAGCACTGCCTCTCCTCTGATTGCCAGAAGCGCCTCCAGCATTGGGATGCTGCACTCCACGTTTTCTTGAAGCTAATCAAAGAGACTACAAGATTGTGCACACCAGGAGCATTACACAGGTTGGTGCATGCTGCAAATAAAATTGAGGCCCTCTGCATTTCCCAGAATGGCATTTTCCTGAGTCACAGGAAACAAAGAGTGGGAAAAGTCTCCTAATACAATTTGTGCTATGGAGGGAGGAAGAGCACAAAAGGAGGACTATATGAAGGACACATAAGTGATGATGTATCCAGTGATCCAAAGGTCCAAACACACCTCTAGATGAAGGCTGAGGTTATATGCAGAGAGGAAGAGAAGGACCTGAAAGCCCAGCTCCCTCTAATCTTCCATGGTGATGGAGCAGACCAAGATGAATGAAGCACAAATGCATCCAGCTCCAACAGAAAATGATATTTCACTATCAGGTGGAGAACCCCTGCCAAGTTCCATCTAAGCTATATTTTAAAGCTTTGGGACATTACGTTTTTGTCAAAAAGTGTGCATCAAATTGTTACTAGGGCTTAAACAGTCAAAAAGAATAATGTCATAAGTGAATATTCACAGTCATAGCAAATATTTTTTAACAGTTAATTATGTTGCTCTGATACAATAAAAGAAAAATGAAGCACTTGTGTCTTCTCTGCAGAGACTTTGCCATTTACTCCTCAAGAACACTACTGGAAAAATGGGCAGGGTGTATTCAGTTGTGGGTGGAAGCTGGCATTCACCATCCTCCTCTGCTCTAAACAGTACCTGCGTTCAAGCATCTAACACCGAATGAGGTACAATAACATAGCCTGCTTTCCTGCCCCTGAACAACAAAGCTGGAGAAATACACAGGGCTTGTCTGTACTTTCATCTAACCATGGAACTGTGACTGTACCCAAAGGTCAGACCAGCTCATTGCCTAGCTGGTCTGACCTTTGGGTCAATTCACCCTCAGGTATGACAGCTCTGAGCTCCAGGCTTGAAAGTGCACACAGGAGGCTAATCCAGCTCTGTCTAATACACCGTTCATCTCACCCTGCAGACTCAGTCCAAGAGCCCCTGACTCCACCTTTGCCAAAGCATACTTAGGACTGGCTGAGGCTCATCATGGTTCAGAGATGTGACAGACAGTGTGGCGACCTGTCCTGCTTCTGACCACAGACCATGCATCACTGACATGTTCTTAAACAGTTACACAGAATCACAGAATAATCTGAGCTGGAAAGGACTCACAAGGATCACAATTTAAATGAATGGTCCATCCAGGGACCAAACCCACAACCTCAGCCTTGCCTCTTCCCAGCAGCTTGCAGAGCTGCTGTGCAGCATTCCTAACCAGGCTGTGCCGAGTGCAGCTTGGGACACAGTCCACTCTATGTGCTCTCTGGTATTTTGCATTTCTCTCAGACTATTCAAGGGAGAAGCAAAAGCTTGAGGCGTTATTTATTCAATTCGGAAGCAACCCGTTATCACTTTGTTACACTTCTAACATGCAAACTCCATGACACAGGAGGGAACCCGTTATCCCTGAAAAAGAAATGGCATGCTCTTTTGAAATCAAAACAAGTGCCCTGCTGTCGATGAATATATTCTTGGTTACAGCACAAGGAGGAAGTTTTTGCTTTTCCTCCCCCATCTCTCATCCAAATTTCTTCCCCAGAGTTGCAGAGTATGAGATGAGCAACGTGACCTTGCAATGACAGAATTTTAATGTGACTGGTGCACCAAAAGCAATGCAGCAGCGTCTCCCTGCTCAGTGTTGCCATGTACACTAGACATTTATGTAACACTGCTTCTTATCCTCAAGGCTGTCCTTTCCTAGGGTCAGCAGCAACAAACACAAAATTTATTTATCAAACTGTCAAAGCTACTTACAGCTGACACAGAGAACTCCACACTCCAGTATTTTGGTGAAAAGGAGTTAACAGGTAAAGCCTTTTCCCAATTCCGCAGCTGCAGAATAGATGTTTTTCAGAAGTTAACTTGAAAGAGTAAAGGTTTTATTTCAAAGAATTGCTTATTTCCAGGGTGTTTTCTATAATATACTAGTTTACTTCTGGGCTTTAGCACTGAGCTGTGCATGGAAATGCAATGCATTTGCATACATTAGCTCTCAACCCCCAGGGAGACTCTGTATACACATCTAGAAAATGGGGTTTGGTTTTAATTTCTAACATTGAGAAGCTAAGAAGAATGTCTCCTCCCTCCCCTTGGCTCCCAGGTACAAAATACTTCACCCTGTTTATTGGTGGCATCCATCATCCTCTCCTTCCCTCCTTGGGTTGCTCCTCAGTTGACAACAGTTTACCTGGAGCTCCAGGAACAGCCTTCCCTCTCATCCAAGGGCTCTGTTAAGAAGCAATCTGCCCCTGGGACATGTGGCTTTTTCCAGCTTTCTCTCTGTGCCCATGTGATAATGGGACAGATCCACTGTTCTTAGTACAGATCCAGCACCTGTCTCTTAGAAATAGGAAACCTCTAGAGAATATAACACTTCAGGCATAGTAAACCTTGAGGATCCACTGAAGTTTAGAGATATTCATAACATCAGAGGAAGGGCACAACATTCCTTGGTACCAAAACAGATCTCATTCCTTGGTACCAAAACAGATCTCATCCCTCCAACAACATGGGTGATACAATTAGCAGGATACTAAACCTTCAGATAATAACCTTCAGCTATCCTCATCCAGCCCTTTAAGGAGAAGCATTTGTTGCTCAAAAACCTTGTGTCAGAGCATTCATTATACATGTCAGTCCAGCAGAGGACTCAGGTTTTTTAACCTTAAAAGATGCTAATTAATCTACTGTGCCTACAAAGGAAATTTCAGTTTCTAGGATTTACTGTGCTTAGTACAGGCACTAAAATACCAGGCTCTTTATGAGAATGAAGAGTCTCATTTCAGCTCCATACATTTTGCTAGTGCATCACTGTAGTGGCCTTAATGAAATACACCAGCAGCAGAAACAATGTGAATCCCAAATCACTGTTCACAGCTGAGTCATCAGCTATATTATATACATATATATATCCCTGAAAAATGTATATTCATAGCAGAAAACCTCTGCTCAGCACAGGCACCAGTGGCATTTTGATTAAACCTTCTTGTTAAATCCTCTTGGCTAAAACAATAAAAACTGGTTGAAATTGTGAGGGATGGAAAATATGCAGAAAAATTGGATGCATAATCCAGAGAAGAAGAGATCTACCTTGCATTACATCAAACTGGTGAGTTTATGAAATGATTGCCAGGCTGAAGTGAAAATTAATCTCCCTAGAAGCGCTTTTATTTTTTAAAACAGTAAACACTGCATTTTAATAACTTTGCCTCTTCTCTGACTTATGGTCCTTGAACTGCTATAGGCAGTGACTCTTTAGCCTCATGTCTGCTTCCCCAGCGCCATGTATTGTGGTTTGAAACAATAACCTGGCGTATTAAACGAGTTGAGTAGAGGTTTTCCTCTTAGGCTTCTGTTCTCCAAGTCCTACTAAATCATTACTTCTCTGTTCTGTTAGGCTGTTACAGCTGAATTACTGTTCCCAACATGGCTGTCTGCTACTTAATGCATTATCTGCCCTCTCTCAGCAGGCTTCAAATCTCTTTGCCACCTATGTGCTAGAGGCTAGAAGAGGAGAAAAAGACAAGGAAGAACTCACTTGCTAGCAGTAGTACCACATACTGAAACAGGGAAGTGTTGCTCCAAACAATGGGCTGGAATAATCATTGTGGAGGGACTTTGGTGGTGAAGGTCAGTCCCCACTAGGCCTTCCCACGCAACATCAGGGCTCACTTCTGCTGTTCTTTGTTGTGGCAGTGGAGATTTACTCACACAAGTAATCTCAGTGATATGGGAATAGGTCTTGGGTACATCTGATTAATCCTGCTGTTAGCTGTGTAAAGCCCTGAGTCCCACACTGCTGCACAAGGGCTGGACTCTTGTTGCAGCAAAAGGGCTTGATTTTCATCATGGTATGGAAACATTCCTGGTCTAAAAAAGAGTCCTGAAACAATTCTGATTAATAAAACACAAACACCCTCCTGAACAAACACTGACAGGTCTGCAGCTTTGTGAAAGACTGAGTGAAAACTGGAAGAATACAGGACGGGATCCTTCCCCTGCCAGCAAGACACCTATGACAGACTCACAAGACACAGTTTAAAGTGCAAAGTGATGCTCAATTACGTAAATCCCGTTGATCTGAAATGTGGAATTGAGTGCTGTCAGCCTTCACTTACTTGTCTGGCACTGAGTTATATTTTAACATAGATTTGGCTTACAGATATAAAAGCAATGGAGTTTAGAAGAGGGCTTGACTCTGTTTTGCAAGCTGAAGACACACTCAGATAGAGCAATGACAACATAGCCTGTAAAAAAATTGTGTTTATCATAATATCTGCCACTCCTGAAGCCAAGTCACAGTCACTCAACAACTCTTAAGCTTTTTGCCTCTCTTACAGAAGAATAGCTCAAGAAAAAGGAAAAAAAAACAACTGAAGCTTTTAGACTTTCCCAAACTCTACCTCACCTGGTCTAGCAATTACTCAAATCAGCAACAGAAAGGTTTTCCCAAAATAAAACATAAGCACATTTGCATAGCAATTAGATAGCTCTTTCTACTGCTTGTGCACCAAACATTAATTAAGCCTCAAAACACTCCAGAAAGGCAGACAGTCCAGAGCTTGTTTTACAAGTGGGTCAGCTGAGTCAGATACAACACAAAGACAGAAAAGAGGACAGCCTGGATCTGCTTTAATCTTGCTGTGACAGCACTGCTTAATGTAAAAACATGTGTTTAACATGCCTACAAACAGCATCAACTCCTGCAACAATGCAGAATAACAGCACAGTACTAGTATTACTGTTTTAATTATAAAGTGTTACCTATGCAGAAGCTGAGCCAGAAATATAATCTGCTTTAGCACAGAGCTAACTGCAAAACTAGCTGCTCATTATATGGTAATGGAGCCTCTATCTGTCAGAGGAGATGTAAAACCACAAACAACATAGTGATTAGATGACTCTAAACTGTATTTTAAAAGCATGAGATACTAGATCCCAAAACTAGAGGGAAAGATCACTTTCTAGCTGTGGGTAACAGATGCAGGCATGATTTCAATCATGCTTCAAACTAACAGCCAGAAAACAAAAAAAGTATGCAGGACCTACAATATCCAGTATTTGTGCATCTTGCCAACAGTTTTATGTTTATTATAAAATCTATGCAGGCAGTATTAGAGATAAATCTTACTGATTAAAAAGAATCTAATTCTTTGCTGCACACCTCCAGTTTTACAGTGATGGATGAATGAGATCCAGTACGAAAATAATGGTCCTTTCTGCCTCAAAGAGAAAAAAAAAATAAATCAGTAGCTGTAATGTAGGCTCCCATCTCTCACTGCATTTCTATTTTGGCTTCTTTCATCTGGGCTACTTCGAGAATTTTCATTAGTAGGAATTTGTCTATATCTGGTTCTTTCCTTCCTGCCTGGATTTCAAATTGGGCAGAGCCAGAGGTAGAGACTTCGGTGCCAGCTCTGGACACTGAGGAACACATTCCCACGTGGCTTCACTGATGCACCTCCTCCCTGCTGCTCACTGAGTGCAACTCCTGAGCAAAAGCTGCCAAGGCAAAGACCAAACTCATTCTCACTAGTTATACATGCAGGATGCCTGTACACCACCTACTAGAAGAATGCTTCCCTCTGAACACTCACACTGATACTTGCAGACTCTGGTACAGAGTCTGTATCCCAAGCAGAAATTTAGTGCCTTTCCCACTAAAATAAAAAAGGTATTAATTGGACAGATCTAAATGAAAGCAAATGCATTGCCCTAAATACAGGTGAACCACAGGCATGAGAGTTCTGAAGCCAGCCTCTGCCAATGTACGCTGCAAACACTACACTGTACTGCTCCCAAGCTTCTGCTGGAGATCAAGTGGAAGATTTCACCATGTTAAAGTGATGCTGCTCTATTAAGAGACACTAGAGTGGTGCCTATTTATGCCAGCTAAGTGTCTGATCCCTGTTTAAATGCCCTCATCTCAGCAAAGTAAGGAAAAGGAAGAAAAGAAGAAATAAAAGAAGTTGGATTGGCTATATGGATGGACAAAAAAAAGGTGCTCCTCAAAACCAAAAAGTCATGAAGTACCAGTTTCAACCTTTAGCTCTCCCATGGCAATTATGGGCAGAAAACAGCTGAGGGGAGGGGACGGGAAGGAGAGCTTAAAATTGGGATGTTTTGAGATCTTCCTCTGTGGAACAAACTGAAAGCATACTGCAGCTCCTGCAAGGTTTCTATCTGCACACATCAGCCAAGGAGCCACAGAGCTGAAGGGTTCATTCTCACTCTGCTGTAGATCCTGCTTTCTGTGGCACCAGGACAAACAAACAGGGATCCAGGGAAGACACTCCAAGGATCACAGTCAACCAAACATATTCTGGGACCCCAAAAACTGGATTTCAACCTGCTGTGTTGTAAAATAGTCAGAGCATCTGAAAGCTTGAAGTGTTTAACATTCAGGGCATGCAAGTGCAGAGTGAGTGCAACTTCCATTTGAGTGTGTGGTATAATAAAACTTCAGGTCCTGTCTGCTCCTGTTCTTTGCTTTTCTTGCTCCATCTTTATGGCTGCATAAATCATAATTATTTTGCAAACTCACTGAATACTGAACTGATGCAAGATACAAAGTTCTCCACGTAGAGATGCGTGCTTGCCAAAAGGCTGTGACTAACATCACAGCAGAGGCTGCCCACAGGTGCTACACAATTGTGCTCACTTTTCCTTAGGTTAACTTCATTACAGAAGTAGACTAGCAAGAGTAACACTCTATATTTTAAATACAGAATCCCGGTTCTGCAATGTATAATAAAATTTTTTCATCCCAAAGCCTTAAGATTTGTATACCAACAAAAGCAAGATTTTTTTGTAATACAGTTTGTTTTGCTGCTTGGATTAACCTGGGGTTCCATTTACTGATCCAGCTTCAGAGGACTGAAGTGGAAGAAGTTCAAACATTCCACAGATTCTTCTTCCATCAGCTTTTAAAGTATCTTTCCCCAGCTTCTGTACTTTTTAATTAACAGAAACAAATCCAAAGAATCCCTCCCACCACAAATATTGTGTGAGCGTATTTGAGTAAAAGCACTGATTATTTGTTGGTATACTGCTGCATCCATCAGTCTTAAATAATCATAAATAAAAACATTTGTGCTATTCTTTGGTACATTTCTGTCTGTTTAAACCACAGCTGAACTTTTACATTGTACAAACAAAAAATTGCACTTTTATCTTCTAGAGAGTCTTGTTCCAACAGACTTTCAGCTGAAGGACTCTTTATTGTATTCAAACCTTGTCCCATAAGAGTTGCTGCTGTTGCTCAGTTTATGAAGTATCTTAGAGATTTTGTTTGGTCCACAACAGAAAACTCCAATGGTCTTCCTGTTAAAAAAAAAAAAAAAAAAAAAAAGATGTGGAGGAAGTTATGACATTGTGAATAAACAGTAATTTCCAATAGACAGAAGTGGATCCTCATAGTATTATACATAAGCCACCTACATACAGATTTTAAGGTGAGAACAGTTCACTAGATGATGCAGTTAGTTCTACTGAAGCCACCGCATCTCTCCCAAGTGTCCCTACAACAAGCCCTATTATTTATCTGACTAAGACAACTCTAAGGAAGAAGTGCTTCATCTTAGTCTCAAGATACCAAATGATAAAATATTACAATTTTTCATTCTATTTTTTTTCCATGATTAATCACTTTTTTTGTTAAAAATATGTCTCACTGTAAAGACTTCTTTAGTGTAACTCATGAATTACACAAGCATATCTAGTCACTAACAGTGATTTGTTATACTAATGAAAACAGAGCACTACCAACCCATGATTATTTCTGGCGGCAACAGAATAATTTTACTGCTTTACTTTCACATTAGCATGTAGTTTTCCCTTCAACATCTATATTGGGAAATCTTACAAAAACTCACAGAGTATGATCCTTGTTCATCACCCATAGATCTCAGCTCTGGCTCTTTAGTCAACCTGACTTTTTCACATCACTCTAGTGACAACAGCTCTTTGCTCTCTGGTCACCTTAAAAATAGGCTGTAAGTCAGACTCACAGTCATACAACATTTCAGGGCTCAGAACTGTAGCCAACATCAGAACAAAGCACATCCACCACAGCAGGACTGAGCCATTCACAATATTCACTATCTCCCTTTTTTTAAAGATGAGAAGAGGGAAAGGAAACAGGGAAAGCCAATGCAGTGCTGCCTTTTCTGTATAATGAAAAAAAAACTCATCTTCTTCCTGCTGAAATTGTGCCACTACAGAAAAAGATCTAAAAGATGTACTAGGATGAAGAAAAAGCATACAAGAGGGAACATGGCTCTAACTATTGTGATCTACAGCACTCAACAAGAGGATGGAGATTTGGGTTCTGGGTTCTGCTTCCAGGACTGTTTCGATATTTTATCCAGTAACTATTTAATATACAATATTTTAGCATATTCAAGATAATCAAATTCAGTTTAAAACTTCCTGTGCATGTGTTTGACAAGAGGAGGGAACTGATTTAAGAAGAAATCGTTGGTGCATACAGCCATGTGTACATGTCAGGTGTCAGGCAGCTGCTGGAGTAGCATGGCAGTGCACTCTGCACTGATGCACAGCAACACTGCCATGGTACAACTGAGCACTCAAACAGCAAAAATCTCAAAAAAGTCATGCAGGTAACTGCAGTGGTGTCCTTGTGCAGGCACCTTACAATGCAGATTTCAATTGCCTTCAATGACATCATCTCTGATATCAATCCATGGCAACATCATAAGTCATATTTTTCTCACCCTTATGTTTATCTATTAAGCTTTCCTGTTCTGGCAGTACTGCTTTTAATGGCAATGGGTGTTGTGCTGGTGGCTGAATTTGCTGCAATAATGAGAGAGCTGTTGCTTGCTGCTCTCAAATAAGATTCCTCAGCACTTGCAAACTCTGAAATCCCTCTAATCTGTGCACACTGGAGAAAAAGGATTCATGAGCTGCCAGCAAGACTCTGTCTTCTACTGTGTATTTAGTTGAAAGAATGAATGTTGGTGGATTTGGTTTTGTTTTGTTTTTTGGTTTTTTTCCTTTAGTTGAATTAGTACAGTGAATTGATAAAATAAACCCCAAAGATTTTGGCTGTCCCTCTCCCTTTCATTACATATAAACGGCCAACAAAGCAAATACATATTGCCAATGTATTCCCATCCCAGCAGCATCCTTCCAAGGCATACAGAATTTCTGGCTAGTAATCAGAATCACAGGAAGGTTAAATGATTTGCCTGAAGTCACACAAGAGACCCATGCCTAAGGTCTCCTGAAACCCAGCTGAGTCGCTGTTCTGTGCAGTCAGCCACAGGCTCTCAGACTGCCTTCCTGGGATACCCACCACCAGCATCTAGCCTGGACACCCCTTCACGCACCATCTATCCTCTTCCCTGTGTCCCTGCCTGCAGATGCCTCCCCTCTCCTCCCCCAGCTCCTGCCTGGCTTCTGGAACACAAACAGAAAGGTGGCTGACGAAAGCTACTACATGGAGCAGCACACTACTACCCTGAGCTGATGGGGTTTAACTGTTCATCTGTCACTTGTTTGAGACAAAGTTTCGCTTTGTGGCTTAGATGAAAACGGGCAGCTCTGTAGTCCTGTGTCTGAAAATCTTCAATAATACCATTAACATGTTTACAGTTAAGGAAACTATGTTATAGCCCATTCTTTGTAATAATTATAAACTTCAATATAGAATTTACTCATTCAGAGCACTGAGGAAGTAATTCCTCAGTGTTCCTATGGGATGACTAGGTCAGCATACATTCCTACATTCATTTTATGAACAGCAGGAGTTGAGAGAGAGATTAAATATTTTGCTACATTGAGAGGACAGAGTCAGGAACTTGAAATGTTCCTCTTTTAAATCCCCCATTCGTTCCTAGAGAGAGGTTTCTCTTTTAGAACACATGAGAAATGTATCATGGTGCTCTATGCTTTTTTCTCCTATATTCATGTCTTTTTCTAGGTCGTTCTCTACCTGGAAAAAAGCACATGCCCTTTTGACCTAAACAAACTGAGCACGGTCCAAGCTTTTCATCCAGGACAACTGAACAGGAACAAGGCTGTTGCTCCATTCCCCCACAAAAAGCATAAGGAAACAAGACCAGTAATTTATTATGTAACTGTTCCAATTCGGATTTCTGGGTCTGCAGGTGTCATATGAAATATGAACAGTAGATGGCATACATCTGCTCCTCTTTTCCCAAAAATCAAAAAGGATCAGGAACCTGATGCTGGGTTGTCCCATGTCACGCTCGGAAGGTCTGGCAAAGCTCAGACACTTACAAATGCACTTTGCTTATTTGGGACCCATACAGCAACAACAGCAACAATTCACAAAGCACACAGCAATCAGAAAGCTACAGAGAGAGAGAGAGCTTTGCCAGCTGCCTGTTTATTTATATGCAGCTTTTCCTAAAATCACAAGATAAAAACTGGAAAATATCTTGGCTGCACAAAAACAAGCCCAAGGGGATGATTGCAAATGTGAAAGTCTGAACACTGGCACCAGATGTTGGAAACAACTTGATTGACCTGTTTTGCTTTAGTTTGGGTTTTTTTTTTGGTCTCTGTATAGCAGCAGGGACATAGGTGGAAAGTTACAGAGAAATAAGAACTGAAATAAAGCTAGTAGGAGACCTGGAAATTGGACTAGGGGGAAAAACTGAAGTTCCCATCTCATTCAATGAAATATGGAAAATAATTACCTATAAAAGGTAAATTTCTGCAGGACAGCTGATGTTGTCAAAGGCTTCGCTACTGTGCACCAAGTAACTACATCTATAGGTACAGACCTATATAAACCTTGATAAAGAGATGACAAAGAGGGACAAAGCCTACATCTTAGCAAGGTAATCAAAAGAGAACATTACTTTGGTATTAAAGACACCTTGCTTGAAAATGGTGGCCCAATTTAAAGACCTGATGTGAAAATGCAGAGGAAATAGTACTTGAAGTCTAATTAGGAGTAGTGCAATGGAAAGCAAAAAAGAAAAATCAAGTATGACTACTACTACTACTACTACTACTACTGGCTTTATCTATATTATGTGCTCTTACATCCTTGGAGGTAAGTGGCAGGAACATCATAATTTTCATCTTTTAAAACTGCACTCTCGTAGTTAAACAATGATATTAGAATGGAGCACAAAAGGTCAACAGCTCACTGTGCAGAGATCTTTGAGCCCAGAGAGTCAGCTTGGTGCTCTGAACTCTCTATTTCCCTTTCTTTCCCATGGTTCTTTCTCTAAATCCCTTCTCTAAGTGTGAAAATTCTATTAGAGACGTAGCAGCCTTTGGGGCATCCTACTCACAACATCCTCTATGACCTGAAACCAAGACAAGTATTGTCAGCAGCTCACACTGCCCACAGTGATACATTTGGCACTCAGTATTTCTCAAAAGCCAGGGTTCAGTGTCCCCTAGTCATACCTAACCTCAGAAGAGAAGAGTCAACAAGCCATGGGCAGATTTCACTTTGCAAGGGCAAGAGAGGACAAAAAGTTCTTGAGGGAAAGTTCTGCAGAGCACCTCTCAACCTGATGCACCCAGATTACTATCAACAGCTGCTCAGGGGGGTTTGCTCCCACACCACTGACTTTGCCAGAAGTGGATTTGGGAAGATTCACACAGTCCCTTCTTACATCAGCTTTTGAGACAATAAACTGCCAGTGGCAACAAAGTTGGATCTGGACAAAGACATTCCATATGCATGTCTTCTATGGTTTACATTTGTCTTGTTTCAGACCATAATATGCTTTCCCAGCACAGTAAAAAGGTATTGCCCGGTTTTAACAGAGAATAAAAAATAGCTAAAAATACCCAAAGACAATAAATCTTCTCAATACAAACAATACAGGTAATTCAAATTCTTCCTTGTGAATTCTGCTTGTAAGCTAGCATTACAAATCATGAATCAATAATTTTAAGAAATGTAACTTTATATAAAGAACCAGCATATGTTGAAAGAAAGACATTGCCACTGACAAGAACATATGTAATCTCTGTGCAGTGAGATGGAAATCTGCTACTTTTATTTTCTGAGCCACTGAACATCTCAACTGCATGAGAAGCTGAACTGCTCTGAACGTAAAAAAAAAAAAAGTGTTTCAGTTTGTATAGGCCATCTTTCAGCACGATAAATCCCAGAAATATTTTCATACAAACATAGCTAGAAACAGATAGCCATAGCCAGCCATCCAACTGTGGCACCCTTTATGTGGACGAGCACTTACCTCCTATTGCACTTTGCTATGTCATCAAACAGGAGCTTCCACCGGGGTCGTCCAATCAAAAGCCTGGAGTTTAAAGCTTGATATTTTTCACCAATTATTTTCTGCAAGAAACAAAAAATCCCATTCTGCCTGATTTGCAAATTGCCTCATATCACCCAGGGCTCCCATTTCTGCTACTGGCTGACTTGCCAGAGTGCTGAGGTGTAAAACCTGAGCACAAGTACCAAACAGTTGTGATGGGAACTGCAACCATTTTATGCACTAATACCTCTGATCAGTATCTTTTCAATGGCTCTCCTTGGCGTTAGTTACATATACTGTCCCTCATGCACCTGCTCATTAATTTCTACATTACTTTCAAACCAATTTATTTAATCTATGAAACAATAACCATGCTCCTGTTACTTATTCCCACACTGGATTTTAATGCTAAGCGGGAAGAAATGCTGCTGATGCAAAAATCATATTTTTGTCTGAAGACTTTTTTTTAAACTTTGTACAAGTAACTATTAAGATGACTAGGTCTGAAAAAGTAACAAGGGAAATCTTACTTTTCTCTCTCAGAGTAGTTTGCCAGCTGTTTTGAGCTGCTGTAACAGCAGAAAGCAGCCAAAACTGCTCCCAAGATGGAACCCACTCCACTTTAGAATGCTAACTCACCAGCATTTTGATAAGGTGAAATGCCCTCCCACTGCAGGGTACAAACCTTAGGGTTTGCTGTCCTAACACAGCAGCAAGAGGCAGAGAGCTACACATTATCTAGGCTCCCACATTCCCTCCCTTGCTGAGCAACCCGAAACACTGCTCACACCAATTCAAACACAGTCCTGGCCAACTCAGCCTCCTTTGGGCTTTTATAGACAAGAGGCACTTGCTGCAGGGAGTGCTCTTACCACATAGGCACAAGGGCTTCTCACAAAGGGAGCAAGAAGTGTAACTGCCTGAATTTTGGCAGCAGTCAGCACTTTGGACTAACATCAGTGAACACACCACCTGTATGGCCATGGAGACTTAACTCCTCCTTGAGCAATTATGAGCAGCACTATGCTTCATGGCAGTTTTGTTCAACAGACACAAAAAAACTGACTTTAAAGAAGGACTTCAAAAAACTGACTTAAATAAATTCAGCGGCTGCTAAATTAGCATCACTATGCAGTATTAGTATACTATATAGTATCAGAAAACTCCCTTTGAATTGACTATTATTTCACTTTCCCTACCTCACTGCATTGCAGTCCTGCTTCAGGTTTTAATTTTAACCTTACAATTACATAGCAGATTCATCAATTAGGCATTTTCATGCACTCCATTTCCATCAACATAAGTTGTCCAGGCATTACATTTGTCATAGTCATAACTACTGTAGCTATCACATAATTTAAACTACAGGATTGTGTTCCTACCAGAGCTGTTAATGTTATGCTATCTCCACCTGATAGCAGGTAGACAGGCAGATTAAAATCCTTTGGGCATGGCTTTTCACTGCATTTCATGTTTTGCAGTAATTGTTAGGCTTGGCTCTGGGCCCCCTGTAGTCAATAGAAAGCTTCCTGACATGGCACAGTAAAGACTTGTATGTAGGCTTATGTGCTAAATAATGTAAAATGAAGACTGCAAGCATAAATAGTTACAGGAGACGCCAAGAGTTGGGGAATCAGCCTGGAGTTAGTGTTGGCAATACATGTCAATTGACAGTTCAGTATAATTTCCAGTCTTGCACAACAAGAAATTTCTACCTTTCATCTATATATGAAACAATGAAATAAAAAGATTTTTAAAATAGCTAGATTCTTTCAAAATATACATGGGGAAAGAAGATTTGAGCTTGCAAGTTCCTAGAACTATTCTGGTTTGGTTCTTAGCCCAGAAACGATGCAGATTTCCCATCGAACACAGCCAACTGTCTGGTCTGTGGCCTGGCCTGGAAGGACCTTGTTCCTAGAAAAGAAAGATATGGATTTCTGCCTGCACCTAATCGAGTTAAGGGTACTGCACTAGACTCTCTTAATGCTGTGGGGATGAATTGGCTGTCTTGCTGTATTAATGAATCAGTCACCCAAGTTCATGGCATCATCTCCTGTTTTCACCATCTGCAGTAATCCCCTTCTGCCTTTGACTGACAGTTTGCATTGCCTATTACTCCAAGGTCTAGTTTAGTTTACAAACAACATTTGGCCACATACCTGTATTCCATCTGTCTGACTGAGGTACAGCTGGATATTTATATAGTCTGGCCGATTCTCCTGCCAAAGCTGGGAGGATGATAAAAAAAACTAGTGAAATAATATTCTTTTTCTTAATGTAAGCATTAAGTCACTTGTGCCTACTGTGCTGAGGTACATGGGTTTCAGCATCAATGAAGAAAGCTTTTTAATGAAGAGGATGTGCTTGCTGTGTAAAACATATTATTTTAGGAAGCTACATGGCTCTTAAAATACACTTGAAATTGTAAATCACACTACCTTCTCAATCTGCCTACTAGCCAAATGACTAAAGGCCACTCAAGGCTTCCCAGACTGCATGTGCCGCTTCTTCCATCTCATAAAGTAGTCTGGACACAGGTAAGTGTCCAGGCTAGTGGAATGTGGCAACACTGCAATGAAACATTGGTGATGGATACTCAAACTGGTTTTGCTCCAAGAATAAATGAAGCCTGGATCAGGCAGCCCCAGTTACTACTGGAGCTCACTCGTTTTGAGCAAGGCTGCCATCCTGTACAGAATGCCAGGTGTGTGGTGTGGGCATACCTTGCATTTAAGTTGTCAGGATCCCTCCAAACAACACCCATTACCTTGTTATGCAACATACAGAGCAGATCTGCAAACCAGCGGAAAGACTCAATGTCCCTGCACACCCAAATGAAGTAGAGTCTTCTGAGCTTGTAGCACTTCCAGCCGTCACTTTGAAAATAAAATGTGTGGGGAGTTAAAAATTATAATTTAAAAAGGAAACATTAATTAGGATGCTTTATATTTATTAATGGAAACATGAATTTCCTCTAGAAGCTAACTGCTAAGTTGCTCTTCAAGCTATGACACATCAGACGCTGAATTGACCAACACAGCCTATTCAGATTATCCTGAGAATATTAAATATCTAGCACAGAGCCAACAGCCATCACAGACACTGCTTCCACACAGGAAGTTGACAGCTATACAGATGATTTGGGCAGCAAATATGGATTCATATGTCATCATCAAACTTTTATTTCAAAGCAAAAGAGACTTTCTAAGTTCAAGTGTATTATGTCAACGCGTTGTTAGGTTTATAAAGAGTCCAGTAAGTGGAAAATATTGATAAATGCAATCATGTCAGGACTTAATTCTGCCTTTCTATGTGATAGGCTCTGGTTGGTTATAATTAATACTGCAGCAAAATCACAAAGACCAAATGAAATTGGCTCCATTGTGTTAGGGAACTGTGTGACATATTACAGACCTCAGAAAATGCTGGTGGATAAAGTGCAGCCATGGGCAGATTCTGGCATTGCATTTAGAAAATCAGGACTCTCGTGTCAGATTTCTAATTCAATTAAAACACAAATAAGTACAAAGGAAGGATTTGAATGAACTAGGAAAGAAAACAGAAATAAAAATATCCTGATGAATAATGAGTTCAAATAAAGCACAAGTAGTCAGGAAGCATTTTCTTAGTTAGCCAACACTGTTTTTTGACGTTCTGATCACTGAAATGATCAGTGCAGTTTCCTCCTTTTCCTCCTAGAATGATTTTCAGATAGAGAAGGCCATAGCCTGTTCACTTAAAATTAAAATGCCAATCCTGAGAGCCAGGCCTGGTCGAAAAGTTTCATGATACATCTCACCATAACCACTGTACTTTATTCCAAACTGTAGAGTTGCTGGCATATCCAGCAAGGATATAGGGTTAATAGATCTATGTAAGTGACGGCTCCAACCAGTGCCTTGCCTCCCCATATCTCTGCCCTAAGGAGCAAGGATGGAGACATCAGCAGCACCTCAGCAGCATGTACAACTGAGAACTCACCTTTCATGTAAACTCCCCAGAAGTGCTTTCAGACTGGGGAGTACTGTGTCTTTTGAGTCCTGATTTCCAATTTTTTGTTAGTTAACTGTTGACTTTTCAAACATGATTTCCTCCATCTCTTTCTGACTGCCTAGACTAAGACAAGCACTTAGGAAGGGTCACAGTCTGGTCAGATATGACAAGAGAACTATAAGCAGTAGCAAGGAAAATAAGTGCCTTTCACTATAAAAAGGGATAAAAGAGAAAAATGCAAGGCATTTTGTATTGAAATGCCCCAGTTCAGTAACAAAACACCACTCTTGGTGATGAAACACTGCATCCGGACAAAGAGACTGGACTGCAAGACTTCATCAAACAAGTCCAGCATAGATTTAAAATAGCACCCCAGACACATATGCCTGGGCCTACCTCCAGCAGGATATATTGTGCAGGAGAGGTGCAATCCCCCATTACAACCCCCATTTCTTGTGTGTTTCTGTGTTACACTGCCCATAACAGCCATTATTTACAGACTCATGTGCATAAAAGACTCTAGCTTTCCATAAAGTACATCATAATTTCTTAAAATAGGGCACAGGGTTCAACAGCTAAGTGGAGGGAAGGGCAGGGGCATGAATCAAATTATGTACATACAACAGGAAAGAAATGGAGCAGGAAACAAGATTTCAAGGACAGGCTTTGGATCTCTCCTAGACCTGAGTGTCCTTGACACAACAGGACTGGCCTGGCTGCTCTGCAAAGCTGGCACCATCAGACAGCTTGCATGTTCATACCTGCCAATATCTGCTTCCAAGCCAGGGCAAAGACACACACAGATCAGCCACTAAACCAGTGTCTTGTTGACGTTTAAATACTGAGGAGGGAAGCAGACTAAGACTGTTACTTTTCCTCGGAGTGATTCCCTTGTATATTGTACAGTGCGCAAGGGGAAGAGCAGCTAAAAAGGCAGATTATGGAATTAGCTTCTTGGAAGTTAATTTATGGCTTTATGCAGATAAATGGACATTGAAAAATCCTTTGGACACAACCATTTTCTTGCAGCATCTGTGAGAATTCTTACAGCCTCGGATAACACACATTAGAGGCAAACATCTAATTACCTGCTGCTGGCCCATCTTTGTGTTCCATGACATTTTTGCTAAACACTATCAGGGATAATCCATCACAAGGAAAACAGTCATTTTATCCACCTGAGCCCCAGGCTTTCAGCAAAAATGTACCCTGGTTTTGAGAAGGTGATCTGTATTCTCTCAAGAAAAGAAAATGAGGGAGCCCAAGATGGTTTTTGCGGGCTGCAGCATTATGAGACACAAAAGGCTAATAACTTTCAGTAGCACTCAGCACTTTCAGGTCCAGCCCAGTCTAAGGACAGAAGAATGTGTACACCACCTAAATTCCACACTTCACTTTGGAGCTAGAGCTGACCACTGGGATGCTCATCTTGCAAGGTGCATGTAAAGCCCTTCCAAGGCCAGCTGGCCTCTCAGCCTCTCAGGGAAGGTTTGCTGCTTTGGCTGGCTGTTTATGCTGGGCATTTGATACAGTGTGGGTGCATAACCTGTGACCGGAGCCCTTAACCAATAACTCTAGCAAATATAAATAAAATCGATAGCAATCATAAAAGGAAGCCTATTTCACATAGCATAAGATTTAAGGGGACCCATGCTGTCAATGTGACAGAAAAACAAGAGGTGAAAGGTTTAATCTGCATAGAATATCAAAGGCTTTACATTAAAATGAAATTTTAAAGTAGAGACAGAAACAAGGGAAAAATAGAAAAATGCATACCCAAAATTTAAACTTTTTAAATGGAGTTAAACATCTGCATACTACTTGAATTCAGATTGATCCCCTTCTATTAAATCCTCAAGCTTAGACATTTAAAAAGTCAAACCAGGAGAGCTGGTCCTGCATTTCCAGCAGAAGGATTGTCACAATTGTCTGACTCCCAACAACTGTTACAGAACACAGCCTCATCTACACTGGGACTGGGCGAACAAGTCCTGCTGAAGGGCTGTGACTAGATTAATCACAGGCTTGATTGGTGGCAGGATACAGAGGCTGGTGACACTGTCTCAGTTCAGGTGCATCTCTGCCACAACTCTTTGGGTTACAGAGCTGATATGAGAGGATTTATGACCTTTAGGGACATCTCAGTCTTCTACATCTTTTCAAGGAATTATTCACTTATGCCAGTGGAAGTTTTTTAAGACCCTCAAAGACTTTCTGACATGCACTGTTGCTGCAAACTGGGGCAAAATGGCTTTAAAGGCTTAAGCTCACTTACAGCAGTGTGTTGAGCACAGATGCAAATGGTGTAACCCCAATACCTCCAGCCACGCAGAGGCTGACCTCGTAGTTCAGGGATTCCTCAAAGGGACTTCCAAAAGGTCCATCCACATACACTCTGCATAAAGAGCAAAAAGCACACTTTTAGAGGAAGCTGTTAAGGTCAGACAAAGGTAAAGAAAAACAAGCTGGAATTAAAACCCTACAAAGAATTTGTTTTAAATTTTTATTAGTCTTCAGATGTGGAAGATGAAAATTTTTTTCCTGGAAAACTTTATGTGGACAAAATGAATGTACAGGTAAGAAAAACTGTTGCCTAAAATCTCTTGGCATGTTCCATGATTAGACAAGCTATTTTTTAATTGAACAAGTGGAGGTCACTAAGTTATGGCTTCCTGTTTTGTCTGGTGTTAGAGGGCAAAAAAAAGGGCACTAGAAACAATGACTTGGAGGGTCATATGTAGGAAATAAAGTAGTTTGGTTAGGCCTGCCTAGGAGGTTCATCTTATACACCTTTTCTGAAGAGGGAGCAAAACTGCTGAGTTCTTCCCCTTTGACTCATGTCTATCATTATTATTACCATTCTGTCCTCTTGATTTTAAAGATTATTTAGGAGATTGTGTCCCATTTACAACCCATTTTTAACACTTCAGATACTACTGGATAGTACATTGACTATAATTTAAAAGTCGGCTTTAGGTATTTTCAAAAGTTTGACAAGATCTTTCCTACAGTGCTGACAATCTGAGCACGGTCACCCATAGACAGCTTAAAATTTATGGGCTGTAAGATTTCATACAGTCCATTTTACCTATGGAAAACCAACTGCATATCTTACCTCAGTAACAGATTCATCTTTAGAAACTGCTACAAAGAGAACTTGAACGGGACATCTACTCAAGGCCTGCCCTGTGTATGAGTGACTCACTGGACCAGCAGGTTTGATTTAGGTAACCGCTGAACGCAGCCAAGTGTGGTGGGGCCAGCACTGTGCGCAGCAGCTCAGGGAACAGCATTTGCCCACAGGTCTGCTGACCAGGACCCAGCTATGGCCTGAGTCCACTAAGGAGCTCCAACACACATCAGTTTCATGCACACCCACTGGTGCTTATTGCACAACCAAGCTGCACATACTGCATGTCTAATGAAAGGGCCTAAGCTTCTCCTTTATAACAACAGCCAGAGAATTAAAGGCACAGAAGACATCTCCTTTCCCAGACAAAGCCTTCCAAAACTCATCTGATTAATTCCTTTGGAGGGCTGGATTTTAGCCATAACTTAAGTTCTCAGTCTGATCTCATTTCTTTTAGTTTTGTGGTCTGACCCTTGGCATCATCTTACCAGTCAAGACAACATCTTGTCTGGGTGTCTTTGGCCAATATGATCCTTTTTAGGAAATTTTTTCCAGACCTCTGCTATTGTTGCTTGATATGCCTCATATGTTAGGCTCCTTCTTCTGTGGTTGCTTAAATGAACACAGATAACTACCAACTTTCTGATGGATCTGAAGGATGATTCTTAACTATGTCCTGTCTTAAAAACTCCTTTCTTGGTGTCCTACCTAGAGAGAAAGGGAGAAGACACTGGCCCAGCCACAGACATCATCAGAAGGCATTGGAAATGTTTTTAAGCAACCAAATTTTATAACTAAGCCGTCTTCAACCTAAATTTGCTTACTCTTATTTCTGCATTTATAGTCTCTACCATATTCTACAAACATTCTCTTGGATAATCTCAAAGCTTTGCAATGTCAGATGCATTAGTTCCAGCATGATGGGAATATTAGAAAAACAAATTCACTCCTTACTTAGGACAGACATATTGTTTTACACAATGGAGCCAAGAAAAACTTAACCAGCCATGTGCATACAATGTAAACAGAACTTTAAGTATCTGCTCATTAAATGTTTCCTCTTACATAACACTTTATACCACATTTACTTAACCAGGCTTTATTTTCCACTAATGAAATGATACCACTGCTGATGTGGAGTGCAGCAGCAGCTGCTTTAAAAGATCTAAAAGTTGCACTGTTTGACAGAGTAAGGTAAAGGAACAGCTCTTATTTAAATAAGCAACAGGGGAAATGTTGAGAAGCAGGTTGTAACACTGACATAATCTGGTCCAAGGAATATTCTGAAAGAAGTCCACAAATATTATGGGTCTCAGATGTATATGTAACAGATGTAATAGAGATCTAATTTTGGGATGTCAGAGTATGTCAAAAACAAACAAACAAACAAACAAACAAAAGGAAAAAAAAAAAAACCAAACAACTGGATAACAAATAATCCTGTCATCCCTGGTCTACTTCATATACATGTTACCCTAAACAGCCCCACCTAGCTGGTGAAATCTATGGAATTGCTCCTAAAGGTATGAAGGGCAAAAGCACAGGCCTGAGGGAAATTCCTTACATTCTGGACAATGAGTATTAACTTTCCTTTGGATACACAAAGCTAAAGCCAATATTTTGAGTGAAAAACGCAACATAATGAAAAAAAAACAATCAAAGCATGTTTTTCCAGAAATTACCCCAGTGGATGTGACAACAGTTATTTATTGTAGGAGTGCCACTTAACATAACTGCACTACTTGAGGACTACCTGAATGTATGTGTGTATGTCTGATCTCAGAGGGATTAAGAAATTCCTGGAAAATCTGAGTGCCTCTGAATAATACTGACATGATCAGGAGTGGAAAAATGCAAAACTAGATCTGGTCAGCAGAAACCAGTCAAGCACAGTGCCTGCCAGAAATTCAAGAAACAACCTGCAATTAAATATGCATTTTGGTCAGAATGCTCCAGTTTGTGGTCCATTAGCCCCATCTGGCCTGCAAAATATTTCTATTTGCCCACTGTGTCTTCCTTTGAGGGAGTGAGGAGCAGTTGCTTGGACAGCAGATGCAACCAGAGAAGCCAAGGGCCTCCTGCTGTGTCTGCATGTGGTCCAGCACATAGCAGCCAGAAGTCACTGCTTCCAAGTGTGAAAAAGAGGAATGGGGGAGAACCTGGAGAAATATTGCTACTGTGTTAGCCCACTCCACCAGACTGCCTGAAAAGACTGATTCCAAGCATAAGATGATCTCCCTAGAAGATTTTGCTGGAGGTCATAAACATGCACTATTTAATCCCATTTTGCTACCAGGATAATTTATAACTGAGACAAATGTGACCCTGATCCCTTAATGGCAGTGGTCATTTATCCTTTTCTTATTCAAGCCAGTGGAAGAAACCTCTTGATGCCATATCAAATGGCACAGGGTTGAACAGAGCAGTGATTCAGTCACAGACTTCTGCAGAGATTATGCAATTTTTGTTTCCTGTCAACATGTTCCTCCTTTCATTTGGTAGGACAGAAAACTTTTGCATAAATTCAGTTCATTATTGAAAATGAAATATCACAGCGCTCAATAAAAAGGCAAGGGGGGTAAGATGACTTTACACTTCTTGAGCTGTGGCCCAGTTATATCACACTACCAGCTATGCTCTCCTATCCTCCCAACTTTTATTTAATTAACATGAAGGAAGGGAATGGAATTTTACTTGAAGTTTAGAAATTCCCCCTTCAGGCAAACTTATTCAAATAACAAGTTGTTCTTTTCACATGTATTTACTTCCAGTCTTAGGAGTGCTCTTGCTTATTATTGTGGCACAATTTTTTAGCTCAGATAGAGAAAAAAAAGCTCTTAAAAATAGAATACATCACAAAAAATAGCAGAACACATTATTAAAAAGCATCTTACAGATATTTTCTATTTAAAGCACACTTCCATTCTACAGTGCAGTGGTACCAAAATAGCCCAACAAGCACTAAACCAGCTTGTTCCAATGCTGGGCAATGCTACTGCACTAACATGGGGCTGCCCTTAAACTGTCTCAGGGACACAGGCAGCTGTACTGTTTTTGAGATCCAAGTCATTATTTTCCATAAGGAGCTGCATAGTGATGTGTGGAGATACTGCTCACTCCTCTTGGACTTGGCTCTCAGTGCCATGCCTTACTTCAGGTTGTAGGAGCCCTTAGAAAAGATAATGCTTTGATTGTACTTCACAACCCAACAGTAAATTATGTCATCACTTTTTTTTACTAGGCTCTCTGGGACTGTAAGACATTATCTGGGATATTAGTGCAATAACAGATGGATAGGAGAGTTAAATCAAGAGCTCGTAGGAAATTTTAATTAAAGCAGAATCATCATCTGCAAGCTGAACAAAATGCTTGGATACAAAGTACTGCACAGAGCACAAAAAGTGAAATCTTAGTCTGACTGAGGTTTCAGGCAAAGCTCTTACCAATGTCAAATGAAGGATTTAAACCAGCAGCATGAGATTTTATATCCTTGGTATTCAGTTCTTACTAAGATGCACATGTAGGTATCTTTGTGTGAGGACACAAAGTTCTGGATACAGACACAAGACACAGTCAATAAAGTAATGGAGCTGAATTCCTGATTCCTTAGGAAAACATCATTGACATTCTCCAAAATCATAATAAAATCAACTGAACAACTCTTCTCCCATGTTTGTTCTTCTCTTGTACTTGTCCTACCAAAACCACATCTCAGTACTGATGGATTCAGCCTGAGAACTCCAAGGAACTGACTGTCTGATGGCTGAAGTTTCCTTATGTTCTTCTGCTGCTTTAACTCTGCTGCACCAGAGAGATGCAATAATCTCTCTCTGATAACCCACATTATCAGCTTCCACCCCCACATGACAAACATTCAAACAAGTGCCTCCATGTTCCTCCCACACTTTCCTTCATGCCTAGGAGGGAATCACAGTAAACATCTGCAGAGCTATTTCATTATCTCCCTTCAAATTCCTTCTTAAGACTCCTCTTTCCTCTGATATCTAAAAAAACAGGCTCCTGATGTGCTCACTGTAGCTCAGTCATATTCTGGATCAGTACTGTCTCCTGTTTCCCTGAATGTTGCTGTCTGATTGTATCCATCTGTTGTCTGCTGTTTCTCCAGTTTAAGTTGGTTTGTCTCTCTGCTGTGTGGCTCTGTCTATCAGAATGGCCTCCTGACACATAACTCCTTCTTCAGGGCATCAGCATAACAGAGATCACAGAAGGATTGCTAGAAGCCATCCAAATCTGAAACTTGTATC